CTCGGGCCGATCGTGTAGACCCGGGCTCCAACCTCGAATGAGGTCACAGAGACCGACCTTCCATCCCACGAAGACCGAGATGACGATCGAGGGTCGGAACCACCCCTCGTTGGCCGTCCTGATCAGGACCTCGTCGCAGTACTGCTGCTGGACAGAGAGGTCCGAGTCCGAACGGTAACCCCGGAACAGTGAACACCCAATGGAAAAGGACCTCATTTCCATTGAAGACCTTCACATCAACGTAGGTGGCCGAGGTATCGAACATCACCGGCCATGTGAAAGGCTGGAAGGCCGGGTGCGATAGCGCCCGGCTCGCATAGGAGTCCCACTGAGCACAGGGACCACCAGTGCTCGAGGTCATCGAGAAGAGCAGAACTGCCTCGATGCCATCGAGCGTGTAGTTCGCGAACAGCGAACAGTGGTAGCCCGAGTTCGGGGGCATGACCAAATCCCGCTCCGTCAGCACATTGATCGAGCTGGCGGCATTCGAGATGATCTCCTCGGCCAGCCAGTTCTGGAACGGGGAGATCACCCGGTCGTCGCGATTGTCGATCACGAGGAGGGAGTTCTGGGTCTCATCCTCCTCCTCGACCACAAGCTGACGAACGAACTCAGGTCGCTGAACAGCGAAAGGGTTGTGAGCAGCAGGAGCTGCGCGGTCACGACGTCCTCGACGATCGTCGCGACCCCAGCCTCCTGAGCCCCAATCGCCGGATGCGGCAGCTGGAGCCGCTGGGTTCTCGGGAGCTTCAGCTTCGCCCGGAGTGTAGAACCCCCAGGATCCTTGGTTCTCTGTCGGGCCGATCCGGCGGGGCAACCCGAACTGCGGGACCGACGGAGCCGCCATCGGGCGCCCCTGAGCGAAGCCAGCAGGAGGGAACGACATTGCTGCACTGGAGCGATCTATCCTGTTCCTCCCACGCCGAACTTATTTTTCGGAATGGCCCGATCGGCTATCGCCAAAATGGCCACGGGAAAGAATGATCACGTCTGTTCCAACGATCGCGAAACTGATCTCCTAATTCCTACCCACCAGACCGATAATTAGGAGACATATAGGCAATTTTTTGTCTAAAACAAAAAATAGCCTAAGGTAGTCTTAGGGGCAGGCGACCCGCCCTCTGTGAAGGCGAGCGAAGTGTCGGAACATGGCATGTACCGGGCACAGGGGGTGCGTGGCCACCCCACAGGCACAGCGCAACGAGCGCCGGGTGAGCACCCGCTCGCCCTCCTGGGCGGTCTTGTGGAGAGCTCCAGCGTGACCAGGTGCTTGTTGAGCACCACATCCCTGACCAGTGCCCCGGCGATCTCGATCTCGCGGAGCATGTACCAGGTCGCCAGGACCAAGGGTCGAAGGCGAAGTCGCAGCGAAAGGACACCAGGACGCCAAGGTCGGAGAGGGGGAAAGCCTCCTTAAGGCGTGACCCCGGAAGGCCCCGCACGATGGACTTAACCGCCCTGTTGGCCAGGCGACGCAGGACTGGCGGGATCCTGCCCGAGGTCATGCTCTTGATGGCGGAAGGCGGCCAGGAAATACTCCTTGGCGCTGCGGTAGCCGCCCTTCTTGAAGGCCGCCCCCAGCACCTCGATGGTCTCGGCGGCCAGCTCTGGTAGGCGAGGGCCATCCAAGTCTTGAGCCTGGAGGGCCCCTTGGAGGTTTCCGCCAAGTAGCCATCACGAGCCAAGCCCTGCGAAGGGCTTGAGCAGTCGAGCCAGTAGCTTAAGGAGGGGGGGGGGAAGCAAACACACTCGGAAGCGAGTCCTTCTTTTTCCGGCGCCCGCAAAGGCGCGAAGAACCGCCGTGAGACGGCCGCCACGGCGAGGATGTAGTAGAGGGCGAGGTCGATGAAGCCAAGCCCCAGCGGGGCATCCCAAGGACGCCCTCAGCGATCACGATCGCGCGGTGAGCGTGTGCCAGGCTTGGCAGATTGCCGCCCTGACGCCCCACGGCCAGGATGGTGGGGTTCGGCGGCAGGTGGGCGGCGCCACTCCAGCTCCTCCGCTTCCGTCGACGGCCGCCCCCACGAGGGTGTCGGGGAGCTCCTCCTCCATGATTAATGTCCGTTTTCGAACGGTTCGTAGGCGCGCGGTACCAGCGCTCCTGCGCGGTGTGCGCGAAATCCGTCCTGGTCGTTCTTCGTCCCGTAGCCGCTGCGGCCAGGGACCCCAAAACGGAATGCCCGCACAGGCCGATGACGCCCCAGATGAAGCCGCCGCCGGTGCCGGAAAGGACGAAGACGCCCCCAAAGGCGGTGTCGACGAGGTCGAAATAGGAGGCGGCACACCCGCAGAGGCGCTAGGAGGGTGATCCTGTTCCGGATCCGCCCCCTGCGGCGGGGCGACCACCTCTGGCGGATGCTGCCCGGACGCCTTTGGCGGGGGCGGCTGCGCTCATCTCGCGCATTTCGCGCTCAATGCGAAGCTGTATGGTGACTTCGTAGGTGGTGTCGTAGTGCAGGGGGCCCATGCCTGCCAACGCCCGCTGGGCGTTTTTACGATCAATCGCCCGGCGTTGGGTCTCATATAGCGTCTTGGGCCCCGAAGGTGGAACCGGTGCCTTCTTGACGGGCGGGGCCACCATGGCGCCAGAAGGTGGTGGGGCCGAGCCGAACATGCCAGTGGCCGGGCGCCTTGGCGGAGCCGTGTCGCCCGTCCCCGTGGCCGCCTCCTGAACCAGCGCGGGCGGCGGGGCTTTGGCGAAGGTCTTGGGCGCCACCACCGGTTCCACCAGCTCCGGCGGAGGGGCCTGCTTTGGCGGCTTGACGCCCGCCGGCTGGGACGCCACTTTGTCATGGCGGCCAGAAGACGAGGATGCCGAAGGAGGCGGAGTCGAAGGCGGGGGCGGGACCAGTCCCTGCGGCTTCGGCCACCGCACCGTGGCAGAGCGCCCCGAACGGCATTGGAAGCGTAGTGTCGGGAGGCGCCTTGGGCATGGCGGTGTCGAAGCCCTGGAGATAACCCGCCAGCCCGGTCTCGCCCTCCAAGTCCTCGTCGCCATCCTCCGGGACGGGCAGGTCAATGTGCCCAGCGCCCGGCGGGCCGTCGTCGTGAAGCCCCGGGGCGAGCCAGGCCTCAGCCGGTATTCCGTCCGGCGGAGCTGCCGAAGATGCCGAACAAACCTGCAGGGGCGATGGCATAACCGACAAGGCCGTGCCCGCTGGTGGCGTAGTCCCTGATGATGATGACGGCGATGAGATAGGGGGATATAGGGGGCGTCGAGGGCCCAGCGGCGGGCTGGGCGGTGGTGCAGGCCGCCACCAGGCGGGCCAGGTCGCCCGCGTACAGGGTGCCGACCGCCGCGGCGATCTCACCATCCGTCGCCCCAGCCACAAAATTGGCGATGAACATGTGGGCCTCGGTTTGGGAGCCCACATCCGTACCGCCAGCGGCGGTGTGAGTGCCCAAAGTCATGGGCGTGGCGAAGCCGGCGATCACTTCGTCCGCCTCGTCGCCCGAATGGGCGTCATTCACCTCCTCGGCCGCAGACGTAATAGGCGCCGAGGTCGAAGTAGGCTCGGGCGCAGGCTCAGGCGCTGTGCCCGCCCAATCCAGGCCAGCCGCGGCGAGGAAATCGGCGGCGGCGGCGACGTCTGCGGCGGAGGCTCCAGTCGACGACATGACCAGAACACTGGGAGGCGAAAGGACGAGAGGGAAATCGAAAAGGCGATCGAGCCGGCGAGCTGCGGCCGATCGCTAACGCTTGTTCCTACACGCACACGTGCGTTACACAACAAGCGTCCATCCTCTTCGTCGTCAAGAAGGATGCGCAAGTGCTCATTGGTGATGCCCAAAGGCCGCGGCACCGCGCCTGCCGCTCCGCAGGCACTGAAGGAAAGCAAGGTGAGGGAGGGGGATGAGGGGGCACAGGGGTGGTCAGGGGCGTGGCGGAGCGGAGCCTCGGCCAGCGGGGCGTAAGGCTCGGGGAGTCGCCTCGCGGGATCGCGGAGTTCGGTGAGGGTGCAACGGCTCAGTCACCCGCGCAACTTCACGTTAGCCAGCGACCCTCGCCCCACGCGGACACGATAACGTATTCGAGGGGCAAGGCCCGCGTGGGCAGGACGCCGGAGGTGGCGCAAGCGGCAGAACATGAAACCGAGGATGAACGAGCGGGTGTGTTTGTCAGTGGCAAATGCATCTGCTCGGAGCTGCAGGGGTATGGTGGGCGCGTCACGGCATCATGTGAAGGCATGTCGAGCAGCGGAGGCCCGCGCCGGCAATCACGGGAACTGTGCGGAGTCGGCGCTCACGCTTGCATCGTGCGGTGCAGATGTACCCGTGCCAAGACAGTGGATGCCAGAGCCTCCTCGCTGCGAAGAAGGCGCGCTGGGCAACACGAATGTTGGTGACGCAATGGATGAAGGAAAACACCTGCCGGATTCCTGTTGTGTCCTGTCCTCCTTAGCCTCAGCAAACCAGAATGACCTAATGCATTTTATAACAGTATACAGTATAACATAGCTACTGGAATCACCATACGACGGACTGCCGCAGTTGCCCCGTCGCTACAGAGCTTGTCGGGAGCGCGCATTGCAAGCGGGAATGCGGCGGAGTGCCGGACTTCTCGCGACTTTTACTCCCTGCTTCCCTGCTTCTCTCAAGGCGAGAAGAGGAGAAGAGATGCAGATGCAGAGTCACGAAGTTGGCCTCTTCTGAGCGCGCGAAGGCTCTGGGAACTGCACAAGCTTACGGATGGCTTACGGTCTCCGCGCAGATTTGGCGCGTACGTGTCACGAGACAAAAAATACGCTGGTCTGCCTAGTTGTGTTCCGCGTGAGCTTCCCCGCTCGTGACGGGTCTTTGGACCTTTGCTGTCGACTTTCCAACTCTTTTAAAGCCACTTTCTGAGCTTGGGCTTCAGCTTGCGCTGCGATATTCAGACTTTGCTGAAACTACACGGTGACATGCATGCACCCAATCCAGCGCCACTAGACTCCTAGGCTCCTAGGTCCTACACTAGTGTGAGATCCGATAATGCCACTCCACAGGGACTCTTCGAAGTCTCACAAGGACAAGTCTGCCGCGAGCAAGACGTGGTCTGATGGCTGCCTCATGGATGTGATGTGAACATAATAAGATGGTGAGGAACGAGTTGGCTCTTTGACATATTCCGACAAGCTTCTCAGCCGTGGGAAAGACAGGATCCCCCTGCGGCACCAGTGGAGGACGGTGGACGTCCACCACCTGCTTTTGTCACCACTCTGCCAGATTGCAAGCCCTCTGCTCAAGCCACCTCTACGGCAGCAGCAGTGAAGATGTAGTCGAGAGTCGCGCGAAAAGGCGCCGGACCTCCATGATCGGATACGGCACACATGTATCGAAGCGTCTGTGCTCTCACTTTCAGCAAACCTCATAATCAATCATTACTCAGTACTGCATTTGATAGGCTGGCCTAGCTGGCAAGCGGACGAACGAACACGGTTGACAAACCGTTGACAAGCCACATGGCTGGATCGGCCATCCATGACTTGTTCCATGACTGCTCAATCTGACGTGCGCCGTTCACCCTGTCAGTTTGTACAAACTGCGGTATTCCCTCTTGTGCATGCTCAGCCAACCACTCTAACTCACTACGAAGAGTCAAATTAGAATATTGCTTCGCGTAGCAAAAAATCTTCGTTCGCCCGCTTTCAACCCATGTGCCCCCGAGGACTCGACTCTCCTCAATCCAAGCGTAGTTGGTGTACTCCTGCATGGGGGCACTGGACTTCACTTCCACATCCCCAACCCCTTCGTTTCCGGCGCACCGGCTCGCCACCCCGCTGTGCGTAGGCGCTGCGCAGCTGCAGAGATCCAGCCTCTCGATCTCCATACTTCCCCCATGCTTTCCATCCCGCTGCTTGCAGCTGCAAGGCCGCTTCAGCCTTCGGCCATTCTGCAAAGTCGAGTCCCTGGTCGCTGAATGCGGGTGGCCATGCCACCTCAGTCTCGGCTTGGGGGCTCTCGGCTGAGACTTGAGATTTCGCTGAGATGCATCCGACTCCGAAAGCTTTCCCTCAGTCAGAACTTGCAGTTCTGAGTCCTCGAATGTCCCGTCTCTTGGAACTGCACTGCACTGCTACGCCGTCATACGCCGTCCTCGGGCTTCGTGTTGAAGTCTCCGGCTAAGACCAGCGACTTCTCCTCGACTGGGACTGGAGATCGCGACTGAGTGACCAGGGCGGTCGAATTGTCTCTCACTAATAATTTAATATGGGTGACTCGCACCCGCCACTCTGCGCCCAAACGCTCTCCCATTGCCTCCGGGAAGTGCAGCATCAGGGCATCGCGTACGAGCGCTGCATGGATGGCCTTTGCTTGCCTGGACAAGAACCGCTCCCACAACATAAAAGCCGCAGATGCCCCAGCAGACCCAGCCTTTGCAAAGGCTCGTCGAATAAGCACGGCATGTGGTACGTGGCAACGACGAAGCTACATCCCAAGGACTTCACCTCCGTCTTAGCCGTGCTCTCGCCACGCACTTAACTCCCTGGAGAGCTCGCTCCGCTCTTGCTCCAAGAGTTCTCCCGAGCCTTCAGCTTGGCTGCCAGTAGCCTGTTCCTCACAGACAGCGAAGTTGCAGGCTAGGCCGGCTAGGCTCCACATTGCTAGACATTCCAATTTGTTCAACCATAGTCAAGGAGTCCGTCCGACTTGCATCTTCTCGCCACCAGCACAGACCAGACTCTGCCTTTCTCTAGCGTGCTTTCGGCGCCACAGCCAAGCGGCTGTTTCCGAGCTGCGAGTGTCCAGGCCGCACCCTCACGGAATCTTGAAAGATCTTGAAAGAAGGAGCCTGTGTACCCATCTGCCCTCTCCTGTACCTCGTCTGTGCTGTTCCGCACCGTGTGGCCAAGAATCCAGTCCTGGCCATGTACTGGCATTGTCCAACAGGCAAACAACTGAAGTCAACAGCCTTGAACCGCTCCCACCGGGTGCTGGGGGTGCGCGGTGGTGCCAGTTTCCTGCGGCACTAGTGCCTGCAGTGCTCGCCACTCTCATGTCCTGTTGCAGCCCGGCCACAGCTGTGCAGCAGGCCGAACCATCAGCAATTCCTGGCAGGCCACCAGGTATCTCAACTCAAGACCACAGCACTGCCCACCGTCCTCCAGCTCCAGATCTCCTGGGAAGGCCAAAGCCACCCCAATTGGGGGAAAATACCTTGAATTGTCTTCAGATTCCATGCATGCAGTCAATATCTGAAGATCACGGGGGAAGGGTGGAGGGTCACACGAACGGCTCATAGGTCGGATTCGTCAAGTTGCGTCAAGGGTGTCATGGCATATGCCTTGGCTTGACGTGTCGTGACGCATTTCACGGAACATGGTTCTGTCGGTTGTTGACGATCGAGGGGCAAAGTGCCAACCCCGTCGCTGAAAGTGGGCGTGCAGCTTGCTGGCCCAGAGCTCGTCCACCTCTTGCAAGCAAAAGACCTGAGATCTGAGATGTCGATTTTGCTGCAGTTGATACTGCAGGTCTGCATCGAAAGGCTGTTGGAGTCGTTTCTGCCAGTGCGGCATCCAACCTCAGAGGCTTAGAGGTTGCGGTCGCCTATGGATGCCATCAGATGCCGATGACCGACCCAATTCCGAGGCCGCTTCTGCGCAAGCAGCCGCGGCCATCCTTGACAGCCGCGTGAGGTAGAGCTCCGAAACCAATTTTCTCTCAAGGTGCCTCCAAGAGTCTGACGGATTCCACGAGGTCCTGCGCGAGTTGCGTATGTCTTTGACTTCAGAAGCCTTGTCTGCAGGCCACCCAAGTGCACGTGGCTAAGGACACTTGAGTCTCGACAAGAAACCTGCATCCTGATGCTCAACTCGTGTACCCTTGTTCGCACAGCTCCGGGAATCTTCCCGCGACGAACGGCCGAACATCGGCACGGGGCGAGAAGCAACTCGGTCTGTGACCAAAGTTCCGAAGACCGAGCAGAGCATCGTGTGTCATCCTATACTTCACCCTGCTGGAAGCGCCAGCTCCTGATCGTTGCAGTGTGGGAATCGCCGTGGGGAGCACAGCGTCGGCGACAGCACATTGTAAGTGACCACTCGCACGTCCGAAGTTGGAGAATCTCCTGAAGCCAAGACTCAAGAGCTGAAGTCTCGATTGCGACGTCTTTTCTTGGCTCTGGCCGGCCTGGCCTGCTTTGCACGCAGTTCGGCAAGGCCCCAGAAGAGGCCCTGGTCGTAGCCGAGGCCGCCGGGCTGTGAAGTGCTTTGCAATCCTCGGCTCGCATGGCGCAGGCAGAGCGGCAGATCCGCTCCGCGCTCCCCAAAGAAAGAACGCTGAGGACTCGACGCAAAGCCTCCACCCGCGACGAGCCCGAGCCGCAGCGCCAGCGTCGTGGGCAGAGCCGGGCGTCGACTTCGTTCAAGGCCTCCGACACGAGCCCTGCAACGGCCGCAGGGACGGCAGCTCGAGTCGCCTCACAAGACCATTTCCGAGCGAGCCTGCGAGCCTGCGAGCCTGCCTCGGATCTCTGCAGATTAGCCGCTCGGAAGTTGGAGTTCACCAAGAGAGCGAGCCAACATCCAGGCTGTACACAGGCTCAAGTGCCGACATCAACCCTGAGGAACACTGATAAAGACCTTGACAACTCGACTTGGTTTCATGCGGAACTGTCAGGATCTCAGTAAGCTTGGGGAATCCAGCGTTGCCACAGCTTCTCGTACTTCCATCATCTGGCCAGGCCAAGCTTGCTCCCAAAGCTGGCCAAAGCCGGGATCAATGACATGCTGTGGTCGGCATTCCAAAGCTGCGCTCTCTGCCATCGCCGTGGTCTGATGCTCTCGGCTTCAATTCAATCGCGGTTCTTGATTGAAGCACTGGGCAGCGTCCAGCTGTACATTACCGACCCTTGCCGGTTCTGGAGAGCCCAGGAAGGCCCCAGCTCAACAAGGCTGTCAGAAACCGAGGCTGAGGCTCAGTTGCATTAACTCCGCACTGCGATTCGAGCATTCTCGACTATACTCACAAATATTCACTGACTAGAGGCGCCCATGCCCTGCTCTTCAGGGCACCGACTTCACTTCAAACGACTTCAAACTTACTCCTGGTGTCGGACCGGCACTCGATGCCAGCAGTTGCAGTTCAAGCCACGCAGATTCCTAGGGCTGGGTCTCAAGGTCGTGTTCGGAAGTCACAGCTCCTGCTTGCAGAAAAGACACCAGAGGGGTTCTGGCCGCTCTGGCTGTGTACCTGGGATCGCAAGATGGAAGTGCCATGCCCAGACTTTCTTGCCTGTAGCATGCCTGATCGCCTGATCATTGAGACCAGCAGCTGTAGGCGGAATCTACAGCCCGGCAGAGCACCGTGAACTCCTTGCCCTGCAGCTCCGCAGGAACGGGAACCTGCAGACACAAGACAAGGCACCCCAAGGGCGAAATGAAAAGGACACTGCTCTTTCCAAGATTCGGGCTGAAGCTTCCCAGAAGGTCCAGGCCCATGCGCGATTATAGCATTGGTCCTAGCAATGGGCCGTGGGAGCCCTAGAACACCAAGGAGACTCAATTCCAGTGCCTCGCCTTGCCATCGGCGAGCTCTGCTGTGATCCAGGTCTTGCCCTCGTCAATTGACACGTCCACACGCACGATGCCCCGACCTCCACCGCTCCAAGCGAAGCCCTTGACCTTCAGAAAGGAACTGAGAGCAGTGCACCGACATGCACCCACTCCGGCGGGCAGGACTTGGTGACCTGAGGACCTTTTGTGGTGTGTGGGACTTCTGGATGTTTTCGCATAGCGGGCGTCTCAGAGTCTCAACTGCAGTTCTGCAGGCATTGAGTTGCAGACTGATGTGGCTGAAGGTCATACGGCTCCACGCCACTAAGTCACTACACTGAGGAGCGGGGCCAATGGGGCCAAGGGCCAAGGCGGCAAGTGGTCGCCTCCAGGTCGTCGAGCTCCGTGACACTGCCAGGCTTCGGGCTGACGATGGCAGACTGCACCGGCAGCTCGTGCATCGACGGAATTTTCTCCTAAGAAAGAGAGAACTTTAACAGGAGCTTTATGAGGCAGATGCCGCATCTGGCACTGGCTCTCAGGCTCGCACCACGTCGATGCCCTGCAGCTCCTGCAGCCGCAAAGCCCATACCGCCCACATGCTCAGTGCCGCACGTGCGAGTGACACAACGGAAGCAGCAACAGCAACAGTCTGCCAGATCTCGAGCGGTGCGCGTGCAACGTTTACACACATCCGCACCTACACACACACACACACACACATATATATATATATATATATATATATATATACATATATATATATATATATATATATATATATATGGTACCCCCCCCCCTCCGTACCTACCTTATCGGTGTGGTTATCAACACTATAGGCTTACACGTGCACTGGTTTCGATTGGTACCAGGGTGGGGAGGTGCCCGACAAGCCCTATCTGTGCCCGCACGCCCTATCTGTACTGACAGTGCTATGAGTAATAGTTTCACCGTATTTCAGTAATTAGCCTCCTGGGCCGTCCGCCGTTGTGACTCGTGATATGTGCTGCCGGGGCCGATTCAAGTTGAATCGGCCCGATTCAAGCTGAATCGGGCCCCGGATTGAAGATTCAAGATTCAAGATCCCTGGAAGAAGTATATATATATATATATATATATATATATATGGATATATGTATATACTAACAAAAACAAACGCAGACGTGCCATGGACACGATATGTTAGACCTCTCTTGCCATCCCTGCTGCACCGCTGCTGAGGCGCGCATCCTGCTTGCTTCCCACACGCGCTTCTATGTTCACGCGTTTCTATGTTTGGGTGCGATTCCTTTCCACATTGTGCTCTCCCTTCGCCTACCCAACTTACCGAACCCTTAGCCCTTGCCTTGACCATCGGCGAGAAGCCCTTGTAGGCGAGGCCTCGTTGCCAAGGCCCTTCGGCCTCCTCCGTGGAGGCCACCACACGGCCAAGCCACTTCACATTCCGCACGCCGACCACTCCCGGCACCTGAGCTTGAAACAAGTTTCAAGCAAGCGAGACTCAGACAACACAACAGCTTACAGCACCGGTTTGTGCTCTCCGAGCTATCCGGCGGGCGGCAATCACGCGGACCGGTGCTCCGTGCTCGTTTGGCAGGGCTTCGCCATTCATCTCGTAGGCCAACAGGACGTCGCCGTAAGGACTCAGGGCTTTCTCGATCGGAATGGATGCCTGCATGAGATATCCTACGATTGAAGACTGCAAGTCGCAGTGTTCGGCTATTTCAGCCTGAAGGGCGCCTCCATGCCATCCATGCCCTTGAAGATCACGTGCTTCACATCGAAGGCCTCGACGTTCTCATGGCTGAGACCAGCACAATGCTGCAACACCTGCAGGCTTGGCTACAGTGCGCCGGAACTTGCCAGAACTTGTCCTCTCAACTTGTCGCAAGAATCGTTGGCATGTCCGCCAAATCCAAACAGTACTGCAAAGGCGGATCGTATCTCTGCTGGGCTGACAAGTTTGTGATCGCACCCTCGCTCAGTCCCCTATATTGGTGGGGAATTCTTGCCCTAATTGCCGCATCATCAGCTATGCTGTCTGCATTATCTACCGCCCCGCAGTCATGAGAGGCAGTTCTCCATATTGGCAACAAGCTCGCACTGGCACGGCACCTCCCGCAGGTAAACACCGCCCCACTGCGCCTCTCTTCAGGAAATCGCAACAGGACACAGAACTCATCGTGCAGCTTTTAGTCAGAGCAGAAGTTCATGTCAAGGAGCTGTAGACATGGCCCCAAAGCCCCAAGGAATGCCAGACGTTTTCTCAATCTGATCCAGTTCAGATCTCCGGTTCCCTCCGCACTGAAGAGTCGCCACCACCTGACAAGGACCAAGGAACAGACAAAGGGAGTTCCTCAGTTCTGCGAAACTCGGACCGACTACTCTGCACCTCGCGTTTCAGGAAACGCTTCTTCAAATCCTCCAGGCACAAAGTCACGGCCTTCGTGCCAACGCCTCGCAAGACGAAGGAAGGGCAACCAGAAAGCACGGACGGCGGGGCCCAACCAGTCCTTCAATGCAAAGTCTGAAATCTTCAGGGTTCACCTCTGGCACTGGGTGATGGTGGCGGATGAACCTCACGCAAAGCCAGGACTCTGCGTATGCGATTTCGAAGGAGAATACGAATACGCCAGCCACGAGACCACACCGGGTTGGGCGTCAACCAGGAGTCCATCATCAACTCTGAAGGCAGCTCTGCCTAGCCAAGACACACACACACACTCACAGTTTGCGGGTGGATGAATCGTGGCCATACCTGGGTCGGCAAGGACATGCCAGATGGGCATTGCAGGGCTTGTTGTTGTGGAAGATGAGGCCAGGGTGGCGTTCTGGATCACTGTCATAGGGATCGGAGGCCGTCCTACAGAAATTCACAAGAAGCACTGAACAACTGCCTCCGATGCTAAGAAGCCTCGTCGTGTCTGGAGGATCCGACAGGTCCCCGATCCTCATACTCTCTAGCAGCTCCAGCGCGTTGCCTTCCAGAGCCGATCCGAAGAAACCCAGACCCATTCATCCCGCAGTTGCATGCACTGCGCACCTCTTCCGGTGTGTTGTTGGTAGATGCGCCTCACAGAACGAGCAAAGCGGTGGCGGAGCCGCGCAGCGGCGCAGGGGGGTTCAGTTCATTTTGCGCTGGCAAATTCTGAGCGACCAGAAGGGGTCGATGGCTTTGCCCGCGGCGAGCATGATCTTGTCTTTGCCACCGGGATGGTTCTGGACGAAGTCCGTGATGTCATAGACACCGTCCTATGTGCACTATGCACTTCTGAAGACCGGTGGTAGACGACTGCTAAGTTGTTGGTAAGTCCCCATTCTTGCCACTTTCTTGGTTCCACTTCCGGTTCTACAGTTCTACCCACCTTAAGGCTTGAGGATTCCATGGAACTAACTTGGCACCCTCTGTATCACGACTCACTAGACAATGCTGTGGTGCTGGATTTGGTACGGCTGATGCAGTTGGCTCCCTAGACCCCAAGCCCTCTAGACTTCGTCGATTCTTGAGTGACTCATGATAACAAGGCAAGTATTATTCCTAATTAGTACTGTATATGCAAAAAGTCTATGCGTGCCCGCGACACAGCAGCCGGCAGCAGCGGAGCAAAAAAAAAACATAAACTAAACTGAAGCTTTCGTCACTAGTGCTCTCTCCTTGTAGCTCACCCAGATCCCATTCGAAGGCGTCTGGTGTTTGGCCACTTCCTCCGAAGAGAACACCGGCCAAGGCTCGGCTTCGCAGGACCTCCCAGTGGGTGGAAGCCGGCGGCGGTTTCGACACCCAAGGGAAGGGCCGGGGAAGGGCCGGGGAGGCTGAGGGAGGCGGAGGGAGGGAGGGAACTCCGATCCGTTCCGAAGCTGAGCCGAAGACCCGGATGCCAGCTGCGTCAGCGCCGCCCGGACCTTGAGGAGCACACGGCACATCTCTCTCTTCTCCGGTTCCCGGGTCCCCGCCTCCGCGAGGCGCTCTTCCGAGAGGCCTCCTCTCGCTGTCTCCCCGCTCTCTTCGACGAAGTAGATGTGTGTCGCCCGCTTCGAGCCCTCCTCAGTAGAGATCCGGGCATCGCGGATGTTCACCTGCTGCTTCTTCAAGACCTCCGTGGCCTGCGGCTCTCTTTCGGTTTTTGCTGAATCTTGCAGATCAAGTTCAATGCTCCAAGGCTCCTCGCTGAGGAGGCCGGGTCGGTCGACGTCCACCCGGAAACGGATGATGCTGGAGCCACGGGAGCTGCTGGAGCCGCCCTGAGAGCCACCGGGCCAAAATCTCCCTTTGGGTCTTGTCTTCCCAGTGCCTCGCAGTAGGACCGACGTCCGTCCAGGTACCTGACGCTTGCGGCAGCTGCCCTGCAAACCCCAAAGCCTGACAGACTGCCAGGAAGGCAAGGAAAGGGCAGAGGGCACTGGCAGGCAAGCACAGCGGGCAAAGCCGCCGCACACGCGGGCCGAGCCGAATGCCGAAGCGGGCGCCGCCATCCCTGGCAGGAGCCCAAGAGCTAAGCCTTAAAGCCGGAGCACCGGCTTTTTTCCTTTTCTTTCGACTGCCTTGGGAACTGCCTTCCACTGAAATCACGCGGGCCTGCTCCGAGCTTTTCCCCGAGCTGGAGCCGCTGGCGCCGCCGGAGCCGCAGCGGCTCGCCCTCCCCGCACGGAGCCAGCGACCCAAGCGTCCCGCCATGGCCATGAGAAAGGGGCCTCTCCTTCAAAAGGAAGCACAAAACGTCTAGTCTAGCTCTGCAGGCCTCTTGTGAGCCAGCTAAATGGGGCCTGCAAAGAGCACATGATGCACGTGGCGCAGCAAACATGGCAGCATCAAACTGCAAGGACTTCGAAGCTGGAAAGCAAAGTCCCTTTCTCTTGTCGGGTCTTCTTTGGGTGCTGGCTCTTAAGCTGCCATGGTCCACGTGCACCCATGCCGCGCGCAGGCAGTCTGAGTAGTCTCAAAGGCGCAGCCTTCGCCGTCCTCGCCAGATCCGCCGGAGCACCAGCCGCCGTAGGAGCTACGCCCTCCCCAATTGCAGCCCGGCATCGACATGCAGGCCTGCAGTGCGGCTCGAGCGACTTCAGAAAGGCCTCCATTATGTTATGATGTACATGCAGACGGCGGCGGGCGCCTCAGCATCGTTCGTGAAGCTGCAGCCTGAGTCCCCGATGAAAAATACAAAGACACATGCTGAAAACACAGGGGCCCCAGGATGCCCCAGTTGCGCCTGGGTTCTGCCAGCGGCCTCCGTCCCCACGACAGAAAGCATCCGGCCAGCTGCGCTCCCAGCGACAGCCAGGCTCGGCGGCACATCGGGGACCATCCAGCGCTGCACAGGAACGCGCAGCCCCACGTTTGGAGTTCTCCAGGCACCAGCCTGCACTGCACCGACAAACAAGCTCAAGCATGCCCAAGCCTCCAAGCACGAAGACCTCCGTAAGCGCTCTCACGATGCCAGTTGCATCCCGGGATGTAGGCACAAACGCGGCGCCTCAGCGCTCACACACTCATTTGGGCCGCTTTCGCCCTTGTTTACATGTCATGTCTTCACGCCGAATGCGGCTCGAGGATCTCCGCATCGCTGCAGAACCGGAAGGAGCCGCTGCAGGAAGTCTCAGGCAAGGCGCTCTCAAGGCAATTCTTCACTCCTTGAACGTGCTTTTCTTGGAGCCTCCTCCGGCTCTTCCGGCTCGCGCTTCAAAGCTCCTGAAGTCGCATTTGGTGACTCGGAGAGTTTGAGGCAGCTCTGGTCTAGGACCCTAGGACTAAGAGCCCGGCGCACACGGCTCAGGTGCCGTGACGTTTGTAGCAAAGACACCTCGAACACATCGCCGAAGACCTCCAGGCAAGGGAGAAACTCCGAGAATGCCACCCGAACGCTCCGTGGGCCTCATCTTGGCAGTCGCCTTGCCCGCCTTGGCCTTGAGACAGCCAAATCCAAATCCACAACCAGGCCATCACGCCATGGCAATCAAAGCCTAGCAGGGGGAGGCGACGCGGAGGTGCCATGTACTCGTGATGAAAGCCCTGTCAAAGCGGCCTTCCCATGGCCTTCCGCCGTCTTCCTTGTCGCAAGAGCTAAGAGCGGTCGCGGGGCTTCGAGCCGCTTTAGCGGAAGCCACCCCCCTGCAAATGCAAAAGTGTGCTCAAGGGCTGTGCTTTCAAAATGGTCCCCTGCAGCACAGCACTGCTTTGCGGGCTCTCGACTCGTGACGTCTCGTGACTCGGGGCTGGCTCTGACGAAAAAGAACTGATGAGCTACAGCAGCTACAGTGGGGGGTCCGGGTGTGTAAAATTGATCCGTCGGTCTGCGTCTGCACAACGTGCCGGCGCTCAGGCAAAGAGGTCCTCCGAGGCCGAGGCTTTGGCCTCAAGGGGAGGGGACGGGATGCAGACGCACCGTTCCATGTTCGCTTCAAGGCCCTGCCTCGGTTTTCTTTGGGGCCGGCGGAGGCGGAGGCGCTTTGGGTGCCTTCGAGGTGCGTCGACACCCCGCGGTATCCCGTGATCGCTTCTTCGATGTCACCCCGCGCGCGGCGCCGCGGAGGCCGGCCTCTTTCTTCTCCTCCTTGCTCGGTGCACTCGGCAGCTTCACGTCCGGAACCTTCACCTGTCAGCTGCATGTTGTGCGCAGTGCCTTCGCAGTGCCTGCCAGTCTTGCAGTGCCTCTGGGAGTTTCGGCACCTCATCGTGCTACTAGTCATGGAACTCTCGATCAGGAGATGCCAGCATGTTGCAGAGCACCTTGACATCCGGGATCTTGACATCTGGCACCTTGATGTCTGGAACCTTGATGTCTGGAACCTTGAAATCGGGCACCTGCAAGAGCACCAAACAAGCTGCAAAATTGTGCTGCTAGACTCTACTAGATGCCCCGTACTTTCACGTCCGGCAGGTTCGCTTTGAAGTCTGGCAACTTCACATCAGGCACCTTTCGATCGGAAGCCAGGGCCAGATTATGTGGGGCACCACTCCCTACCACGGAGACACACACATGCACGGCCCGTGCCTTCAAGGAGGGCACGTCCATGCCCTCAGGCCACGTTTCTCGTTCTCCGATTCCGTTTCATAGGATGATGCAACGTGACTGCAACGTGCCTTCGGAAGCGATGTTGGAAGGCTGACTTTCGGTATGCTGACATTGGGCACGCTCAGGCTGGGCAGCGAAGGTCCTGAAGAATGATCACGTAGGTTCACCGGGGCTCAAGAAAGCCTGGCCTAGCTTCTGAACACCGCAATGAGGGCATCGCTTTCGTTCGTCACTCTGAACCCACCGCACGGGTGAGTTCTTCCCGCCACCCCTGGCCTGCTCGTAGTCCGGCTGCAGCCGTGGCTGCAAGGAGGGCCAATGCCTCAGTGGCTTTAGCGGAGAACTCCGCGCACTCTCAGTCTGCGTCGTTTGGGACGAGGTGCAACCAGGTAGGAGAGCCCCTCCGAGAGACCCAGCAAGCCGAGGGGCCCAGCTGGCAGTCCTGGCCAAGCGGGCGGCTGCCCTCCTGGTCTCTTCGGCGTCTTCGGCTTAGGTGCCTCGACCACGTTGAAGGAAGCTGCCCAGGGACCAGGCCACCAAACCTCCGAAGCCCGAAACTTCGTAAACGTGCACGACGGTCACTTTGGCTGGGGCCACGGCCAAGCGACACAACGCTCGAAAGAAGCTCAAAGCCGAAGAAGGGGAAGCTCTCCCCCCTTGCTTCGCTGTGCTCAAGCAGTGTAAATGCGATGCCTCTGCAAGAGAGCCTCACAAGGTTGACGGCCGTCAGGAGGGCGTAGCACGTGTGCGGCAGAAATGCGAGGCCGACCACGAACCCGGAGAAGCCGGAGATTTCTACGGAGTCCTCAAAAATTCAGATGCATAAATTTCACTGAAGCCAGTTTAATCGAAGCACCTCAGCTGCGCTGTCGCTTGCGAAGCGGGCCACGCGAAGCGGACCTCTTGAGCAGATAAGCAGTTCAGATTCGGCAGTCGGCCAGCAGACCTCGTGGCGGTAGCCGGCTACCGATCTTTGGAGCAACGAAGCTGTCACCAACGGCCCATCTCCACAGGCAAGCCCTGGAAAATCAGAGCACAAGGTTCCACGCCAAGATGCTCCTTGAAATTTTGAGTCCCTGGCGCAACGACCAACACCAATACTGCCAGGAGCCTCTGCCTGTCAAGTGGCGCCCCCTGATGATGCAAGCAGTGCAAGCACGCGCGCAACCAGCCTTCGTCCGCTGGGCGCCATGGGCGCCATGGCGTCACAGCCTCAGCCGCCTTATCCCAGCTAAAGAGCCCTCCCTGCGACAAAACGAACCCATCACCGATCAACGCAGCATTATGCAAAGAGCCCACAAACAGAATGTCGTCTCAGGATTCCATGCAACATATATACCCCTCCTGATGCGAACACCGCTGCTGCCGATACCGCACATAATGCTCTTTTCCGTATCTCCACGCACCTGCTCTCTTTGAGAGGGTGCTCTCCGGAAGGGTGAGACGTGAGACGAGGACTCAGAAGGGCAGGGAAGCTACGAGTTACGTCATCATAGTCGCAGACATCTTCGCCTCCCAGAGAGTTCTGGAAGCCCCCATGCTGTCTTTCATCGGCTCTTCAACTCTCACGTGCAGCCGCGGTAGAATGAGAATAACAAATCATACAGCGACCTGCAAGAGACCTGCTTTCGTTCAGAGCTTATTCGGTTCTTGCTCCTCGCTTTGTTCGGCTGGAAGATCGACGCACCCAGCACAGCCGTGGAGCCCACTTTGATTCGTTTTGAAATGCAGACAATGCAGCATGTCTTCCCTTGGCCAACAATCGTTGATGCTTGAGAGCAATAGATGGACATTTTCCGACAGACGGACTGAAGGACAGGCAGACGCACTGGCCTTCGTGAGTGGGCTCGGCACTGCCTCTGGCTCCTGGCGCGCTTCGGAATTGCGTGTTGCAGGTCTGGTTTCCCAAGCCATTCAAGTACAGATCGTCCAGTTATGCAACTCAAGAGGGCTGGAGAAACAGCCGCGCCAAGTCCTGCAAGCCACCGTGCAGGCCACGCGTCTTGGGCAAGGCCGGCAGGCTGCGGCTAGTTGCCATCGACGTGGTTGAGGCAGGCAAAGCAATGGGCGGCCTGGCACTAGCCGCTGTGCCTTCGTCTGCCACCGCCCCCCCCTTCTGCCTGTCGCAGGCGTCCTTGAGGGTTCGGAACTCGTCGAGGTTGGCGCGCGTCGGCCGCCTCGAAAAGAACGGCAAGAGCCGGCGGCCGGCGGCTCTTCTCCAGGGCAGCGGCTTCTCGGGCAAGCTTTGGACCACTTCCTTGGCCAGCTGCCCCTGCACCTCCCGCAATGCTGCCATGTAGGACCTGCAGAGCCAAAAAGTCGCCTCCCCTGTGACATCTGCATTCTACTGTATGCAGGCCCGGGACATGAAGGGCGTTGGTTCATCGGGTCGTCGCTTGCTGGGAAGCTCTCGCCGGCTTGAAGCTTCTTCTTTGATGCCTCGCGCGCGGGTGAGCACGTGGAGCGGAGGATCTGACAGAGGCCGACTGCGGCCGCAGCTGTGCCTCGGTCCTGGCGTCTTGGAGGCCTCGGATCGGCTTCCGATTTTCTCTTAGAAGCAACTGGAAATCTTGGGCCCGAAACCCTGGCGGCTTCTCACGGCGCGGGGCCGCAGGGCTGAAGCTCTCCTCGACCTGCTCCAAGTGGCTCGGGGCCAAGAAGGGCCGAGGGCAACCGTCGAAAAGAAAGCAGCTCTTTTTGCTTCCTAGGGCTTTGCTAGCAAGCTCGGCCAGGCCAGTGAAGCCGAAGGTGTTGGCCGTTGCCATCCACCTGCAGATGATGCGATTCCATCTTGGTGCCCGCAGGTAGTACCGAACCTGCGGAAACGAAGGTCTTCAACAACCACCGGTCCGTTCCATCCTGCTAGTGGGGACAATGACAATGATGACAAGCACAGCCGTGCCCGCTGCTCCTGTTGCGGCTCGAATGCCGTTCGTGCATGGTTGCAGCGGGCATTGTCAATAAGCAGCGCGTCTCCAGCCTTTCCAGGACAGCGCACAGAAGAAGAGGACTTGACAAGATACAAACCGACTCTGTACTATAATTCGCGGTACGGGGCAGTGCTTACACCAATGAAGGATGTGCCTGCAAGTCTACATCGTCGCACGTCTCTGCAGCCGCTGCCAGTGCCCGGTAGTAGGCAGCCTGCAAGAAGGCTTCAATCTGGACCATGCCCACTCAAAAGCTGTACTGCCTGGGTCTCGGCGTCGTCGCTAACTATCCGATATGAGAACTCCTCCGCGTCGTCACCAGGCAACGTGAAATTGAAGAGACTTCACTCTGCCTTGTGGTCTGGAATGTAGAAGAAGGTGATCTCGGGCTCGTTCTGGCACACGCAGCTTCCCAGCCCTAATAGGGGCACTTTCAGCGGCGCCTCGGAGCCTGTGACGGCATAAAACGCCTGGCCATATGGAGAAACTCCGTCCGGCCTCCGCTATCGCAAGGTCGAGAGAAGTCGCAACAAAAGCGTTGCTGTCCCTCTCCTGACGCACTCAACTCGCACTCGGCTGCGGCGAAGAGCCTGTAGCAGTAACACACACACACACGCGCGCGCACGTGCAGAGATGCACATGTCAGACCGCGGCCGGCTCCGCCTGCAGCTCGGCAGCTGTCAAGCACGCGGCCAGGCGTCGGCGGGAGCAAATCTGCGTCTTCGCCCCGTGCTGGCAGCAACTGCCGTCAAAACACTCTTGTACACTAGGTCACTAGGTCTAGGTAATGCAAAAGACCCAGAATGCTTCAAATCACCTGTGGATCGCCGCGAGCTGCCAGAAGAACAAAGCCATCGGGCTCGCTCTCGGCACCGGAAACACACCTCGATGGATGCACAATCCCAGAAAATCCTGAACAGAACTGTGCTGGGCTCCGCTGCTTGGGAACGTCTCGGTGGAAGCCCAGCTGGATGTGCGGCTGGTTGATGCCTCCCAGTCCTTCTCAGCGAAATGCAGACCCGAGAATTTTCTGCCCGAAACGTTTGCGCCTGGCTTCGGCGCAAGGTCCCGGATAAGCCCGCCGCGGGCATTCTCAGTGTAAAACCTACAAGTTTGGCGAAGTCAGCGGAGCAGTCTACTGCCGACTCCAAAGCTCCGGGCCCCAATAGACCGTACGGCAGACCAAGGCAACGAGCTAAGCCCAGCAGCCAGGCCTGACATGCCCGTAACACACACGTAACACGCGACGCCTACATTGCTTTGCGTCTCTATTCTGAGTCTAGGCTTCCGTGATGGCCCGGCCTCGGCCACAGGTAAGCGAAAGTCGCCAGGTAACATCGGCGTGGGAGGGATCTCCGAATCCAATGGCAAACCCGAAAGCAGCAGTGCCGGCGCCGAAGACGAGTCGACAAATAGCCTTTGCACTTCGTGAAGGGCCTCCAGACAACCGGTGGTCCGCGTTAAACAACGTTTCAACGGCCGGTGGACGTGTCGACAAAGGGTGTCAGCCTCTTCCGGCAGCCACTTGACCACAAGCTTGAAGGACCGCGTGACTGCTCTCCTGCTAGAATCGCAAACAGCATAGTCATAGCCCGAACTATAAATCTGAGGGGTTGGCTCTGTGCGCACTGGATCTTTGAGTGCATGCCACAGAAAGTCCTGTGCACGGCAGGATCTTGATCACTCTATGACTCTGATTCCCTGTGGCCCGTAGAGTATAAAGCGTGCCTCTTCGGAGAAGGCTTCGAAGAAGTCCTGGCGGAAGCCGTCCAACCCATCCAGGTCCAACCTTCAAGCATTCTTCGGAGGGACATGCAAAGAGAAGACGTCACGACATCTGACAAAGGAAGGGAGGTTGACGCGCGCTTGCAGCAGCTCAGTAGAACGACGCAGCGCGCCTAAGTCGAGCGACGTTCGGAGCCTCCTCAGCGGCAAGCTTCGCTACCTTTTTCGGCTCGAATGATATGTGAGAGCATCGAAGCAAGCCTCCTCCGACCATCTGGCCTTCTGCAGGCGTCGGCGACTCGCTGCCGCCCTTGCCCTTGAGGTTTCACGTCATGCATCAGAGCTGTTGTCTTGCATTAGTCTTTGGAGAGCCGAGGAGCCGCCGGAGCCGCAGCCAAGGCCAGGCACCCAGTAGCGCTGGAAGCATTGCAACACCAAACCCGCAGCAACCCCCGCAGTTTTGCGCAACTCGCACTTGAAGAAACGGAATCGCTCTCCAAGAAGCCTCCGGGGCCTTCCCTGGGGTCCGGCCGGCCCTGATTCGCCCTTCCTTCAAACCTTCGAGCACTTGGAGCGGCAGCTTCTCCGGAAGAAGGAGAGCCATCGCATTTGCTGCTTGCTGTAAGGCTAAAGAGGCAAGGAGTTGAGTAGAATGGGGTTGCAAGATGACTGTGACCGACTTCAGTTTGCTGTGACGAGGGCTCCGCTTCCTGCATTAGTATGACTCAAGATGCGAGAGCCAGAGCACTGCGAGAGCCGAGAAGAAGAACACGAGGTGTTTCTTTCTTTTGGCCACTCCGGAGACCGTGGCCGCCGTGGCCGAGCCATGCCGAGCGCCTTCTCCTCAAACTCCGAGACCAAGCTCTGCTGCGCTTTCACCAGAGTCGCCTGACGACAAATCTGCGTCCATTACCTCACAGGCGACGACGCGAAGCAACACGCGGCACCTCCACACCCTGCGTCATGGCGTATTCACAAGCGCTTCGGAAGAGGTACTCTGTGTGGTACCTTCAAACCGTGCAGCGATGCTTCCGTTTCAGTTTCGTTGGCCGTGCCCGGCGCACCACATGCCCCTGATCGTGGCGTCCGTGGTGTCGTTTAGCCGCTCGAAATCAGGCCACTGCTGGTCCTTTTCAAGGCTGTGCTAAGCCTGCTAAGCCAAGCTGGCAAATGGCAAATGTTCCGTCTCCACTCGGCACCACGGGCACCTCTTCCGAAGCGACGGCCTCCACCACTGCCGCATAAGCCTTGTTCGCCAAAAGCATCTGCTGCCGGATCAAGCCGTACCTGCAATGCACTTGAGCACCACCGTCACCACCGCCTTCCCCCCGTCTGCCTTTGGATGCGCTGCGTGGCATCAGAGTAAAGGCGCTCAAAAACACCTTTAAGTACCGGCGGGTTCCTCGCCAAGCCGGCTTCCATGATGTCCTCAGAAAAACGCATCGTGTGCAAGCATGCCCACACCGCTTACTTTGCCTGCAAGTCTCCTTCAGGCCAACTTTCTCCATAATGTTGTCGACCGTGCCGGCAACACCGGGGCCGGCATCTAGCGACACGACCTGACAGCGGACGAGCGGCGAGTGATGCATGCGAACTTAGGTTACCTACACACCGACGAAGAGCTACGAAGAGACAGAGAAAGAAAGAGAGAGACAGAGAGAGACAGAGAGAGAGAGAGAAAGAAAAAACAGGAAGAAAGAACTGAGAACGAACGAACACAAGAAAGAGAGAAAGACAGCGAGAGAGAGAGAGAGAGAGAGAGAGACGGACAGACAGGGTGCGAGGGAGAGAAAGTGCAGTGAGGGGGAAAGAGACAGAGACTGTGCGGCGGCTTCGGCAGACACGTGGCTCTCCCAGCGGCTTTGTGGCTAAGGGTGCAACACCTCGAACTTCATGGCCCCCGTCCTGCCTTGATGTTCTCCATACGCTTTCGCAGCTCGTCGATGGTGAGAAGCAGCTTGGAGATCTCCTCCTACAGGAAGGACAAGGTACATAGCTTTCCAGCAACATGGCATTGCACACAGCTGCGTCACCTGCTGCCTCTGCGTGATGCGCTTCAGCTCCTGGACTGGACCCACGAACGGCACACAACATTCCCGTGATTGACCCTCGCCAACTGATGCTGGCTGCCGGAATGTCACACAAAGCTGAAACTGTCACGTGGTGCAGCGCCGCGGCACTCAGCTCTCCGTGACAAGCTGAGTGCTGCCGACACCACGAGAAAGAGGTGCCACAATGCACAAAGACGGTGCAAAAAGGCTGGCAGACAGGGAGACAGTCCTGCACCTCCTTGGGATCTCCTGAGAGCAGCTCGGTCGTAACGAGGAGTGGAGGAGCGTGCAGTTCTGCGGGTTCGTAATGAGTCAGTGCCTTTGTAGACCACTTCCTTGGCTGCTTCTGGCACCGGCGCTTCCGGCTCCTCAAGCGTCGGAAAAGCGACAGCGGAGCGATACACCGGCGGATACCAGCGGGGCGGGGCCTTCGTCGGCGCCTCCACGGGCGGGGCTGGAGTGCCATCCTTGGCGAAGCTCGCGGCGTACTTGGCCAAGGCCTCGCTGACCCAAACCTGACATGAAGCAAAGCAAAAACGGACTGCGTGTCGATGTGGCACGGCCTCGAATTTGGGCGACGCTTCCTTCATGGCCTTGAGTACCTCAAGGAGCTTCTTGTGCTAGATGTCTGCCGTCCACCGTGCCGAAGGTGCCTCCATCGGTGTGGGTTCTGCTGTGGCGAAGGCCTGCAACTACAAAGGCACCCTTGAGTGAGCATAGCGGACGAAGGCGTGCAGTGGCGGCGAGAAATGCGCCATCCGCCTGCATGAACTTCAGCTCGCTTTGCGGCACCTGCGAGTCACTGACGAGTCGGAGTCTGTGAGGGCCGACGCGGCTTGCACTCCCCCTGCCTTGTGGCCGGTGATAGACGCCAGCTTTGTGAAGCCTCGCAAAGCCACCTCCATCGTCTGCCTGCAGCGGTGCACGGTTACCCCGGTGCCCGGTCGGCCCGGGCCCCTACCAGCATTCCGGATATTCCCGGTTCCGCCGGCCGCGCCTATTGGCGGAGAGCCACTGGCTCAGCTGGTTCCGCAGCTCCGCCACCAGCTGCTCTGCGCGGCGCTGGGCCGCCAGGGCCTCCTCGAGCGCAGCGGCCTCAGAGACTCAGCTTCGACGCGCTTCAGCAAAGAGGCGTTCGTGTTCAACTTGTCTCAACTTCAAGGACAAGCTCAGGCTTTATGCAGTGGCGGACTAGTTTTCCTCGAGCATTTCGACGCTGCCATCCTCCGGGTGTAGCGCCTTTTCGCGCAACTCCGGGTCGAGCTTGAGCATCGCGAGACGGGCTGGGCTCGTGAGGCCCATGAAGCCCGTGAGGTCGAGCGTGGAGGGGCTGAGGAAACGGGTTGCGCCTGCTTTTCAAGCGCACCTTCCGCAAGGGCGGCTTGGACGCCACGCCGCTACTTTGTTCACCCGACTTGGCTTCTCACCGACTTAACTTGTCAAGTCCTCCGCAAGCCAAGCTTTGAAAGCTGTTCCACCAGACCGCTGTGCTAGTCCTGCACCACAGAGGCCTCCACTATCGCATGGCAGAGCCTGTGCAAGGGAGAGCTTTGGCGAGAAAGCTCAATCTTACCGCAAGGCGATGCGCCAAAGCCAAGGCAGCGACCGCATCGCCAGTGCGGCCACATGAGGCTCGTGGAGCATGGCGAAATGATCTCCGCGAGCCAGAACCGGAGCCTGGCCAGAGCGCTAAGGGCCCACAACGAAGCCAACCCTTCTCTGCAGGATCCTGTTCTCCCGTCCTTCGCCGCCACTTCTCCACTAGCACCCATTGACTTCAGGCGCGTGGCCACCACTTCATCTTCCTGGAAAATCTCGGCCTGGCGCTTCCAGCGGTATCCACCCCAACGGCACGAACCCCTCCTCTTGTGTCAATGCCTGGACGCGCTGAACGATCTCCTTCGCCGATGTGGAGTCGGCCTGAAACTCTGGCAACAGGATGTCGCGTGGAGACATTTGAAGGCTTCGGCCTCAGCGGATCGCTCGGCAGATTGACCTGCTGCTCTGACCCAAAGCATCCTGGCAGGGCGTGATTTGAAGAATCCACAGAGATCCACGAAACCAGCTGAATGCCTGGCCCGCAGGGCCGTCTCCTTTGACAGTTCGGATCCTTTGAAAATGAGGTCGACAGCAGCAACTCACAATCCTGCTGGGCTGCTGGGCTTGCGGCGAGCACTCGCGAGTAGCCCCGCATACCAGCGGAACGTCTCATGGATGTGCTCCAAGACCGGTGCCACTTGTGGGCCTCTATGACATATCGGAAGGAAACTGACCAACACAGCACGCAGCCCAGCAGCGAGCCTAGCAGCCGGCGCACTGTTTCCTCCCGATCTTCTTCAGATGCGGATTCCTCCCGGCAAGCAATCATGCAAGGACCAACAGTGACATGTTCGACAGTCATCATTGGAAGCACCGGCTGAGCCGCGTCCTCGACTACCGATGCATAGCGCGAACCGTCTGCAACAGTTTGAGAAAGCATCGCGACGGTCTCCAGGATGCCACACTCGTCGAAAAGGCCGCCTGAACCAAGAATGTCAGGAAATGCCCTGAATGCCTCCATACACTTGCGATGCCGTGGCACGACATTGCGGAACCTCCTTCCTTCCCGCTTGCTTGCTTGATTGCTTGCCGACAAGGCAAACCGGCATCCCCACACGCAGGCACGGAAGGTACCCACAGACCCTGCTGCACCCCACACGAGCACTGCGTGCGACAGCACCGGGGTTGAATCCCAAATCGACGTCAAAGGCCAGTAAGCCACCGGGGGGCCTTTTGCCAAAACATTCCGTTTGCTCCTTCTCCTCAACTAGACTAACTAGAGCTCGAGTGCACTCTCACACTCCTTTTGCAGGCGTCTCGACTTCGGAACTGCCCCGGCCGCTCTACCCCGTGCCTGCGTCGGCCGCCACCGGGAGTAGCGTCCGCGGGTCCAGCAGCATCACCAGTGAAACTGCTTGGGCCGAGGCCTGAAAACCCGGGCTCGAAAAGTTTAAGTTTTTCTAAGGACAGTTTTGCAAAGGCATGGCAGTTTCGGCCCTGTTGAAAACGTTCCGGATTCCAGCATGTCTCAGGTCATCTTCTCCTCCGCGTATTGAACACAGCTCTAACATAATCACCTTTGGGCCACATATGATCGCGACCCAAAAAATCTCTAAAGGGCAAGAGGACAGTGCAATTGGAGGACAACTCGGGATACCGTAAGGATCCTTCACGGGGCTCTCTCCGATGCCTGTCAAGTTCTAGATCTGCGCGCAACGTGACCTTCCGCTAAATTCCGTTCGTTGGTCTTGGCGGGGAAAAACCCTTAAATTCCCGCATACTGCACCGTGCGTCGAGGTCCCCAAGCACACTCAAATGCCAAAAGGTTCGAGGTCAGGCGCAAATGTCATGATGTAAATAAACTTCCTCGCCGTGAGGCATCATGTATACAATCGCTAGGTATTCGCTGGGCTCACGATGAGCTCGAGCGATGACTTACTGTAGATTGCAATCATAAGCCCTTTGGAACCTTGTACACAACTGTTCTGTTTCGTCTTGTTTCTTTGGAAGTACTGAACGCAACTTTTGTCCTAGCCATACAAACCAATCTGCACGGGCTTCGCCTGAATGATTCTGGCCACTCAGGGCGAACACCTTCAACAAACCCCCCGGAAGAGACATACCGATGCTGGGAAAGATTGTAGGCCTTAGCAACTGGAGACAGGTAGCTGAGTGCACACCCTCGCTCAAATAGCCGAATTTTGATCTTGCGCTCAAGACGTCTGCGGCGTAAGCGTCCACATGAAGAGACTGAAGCATGTGACCTTACACATGTTAGCCAATTCAAGTACTACATACAGCAAAACAAATGAGGACTGTCACCACAGATGATAATAACAGACGCCAATTTCACAAGGCCACAATCAACACAGGTTGAGCGCACACTTGTCAATTAAACGGCTCGCAGAGAAGAAACAGTCTCTAACCCAACCCTCCTGAATTTGGAAGGTGCCGCCTCCGCCTGTCTGGCCATCTCCAAGCAAACTGTGGCGCCGAAGGAATGTCCAGCCAGCAGCAACGGTTCCGACGCGCCCACCACTGCTCGGACCTCCAAGTAATGAGCTGGATAAGCAATCATTACACATGTGAGGGGCTGCGCTACCTCAGCCAGTAGCAATTCTGCTAAGGCTTCCAGAGAGTCCGGCCACCTGTGGCATTGGAGTGAGTTAATTAATTATCGGGGCAGCATGAAAATGAACTTCACTCGCTTAAGTCTCCAGTCATCAGCAAACTTTTCGCCAGTTGGCAATGCGTGTTTGTGGCATTTCACACTACGGCGCGATCTGCTCAAAGCACACTCCAAAGGCATAACTGAATTCTCAGAATGCGTTTGGATGGTAGGGCGTATCGGCTGGCAGGCACGGGTCAAACTGAGGAGGCTTGCCCTTTCGGAGGGACCGGGCAAACAAAAGGAGGACTGACACCGTCCCCCACATGAGTCCCACGATGACGCCAGCCTCAGTGTCAAGGCTGCATGCTCCATGCATGGGGTCACAACAACTCCGAGCGAGCTTTCAGTCTAAGCACGCGACGTCGAGGATGGCACGGTACGGGTTGGCCAGCTTACGTACAAAGTAAACGACAAAGAAGATGACGGTGGTCACACACCAGCTGGAGATAACCCGCTTTCGAGTTCCGTGGAAATAGCCGATGCAGAACATTGGGGCGAAGAGCTTGTGAAAGACAGTGGCCGTGGCCTTCTGCGTTGCGGACACATCCTTCCCCATCATCCGAGCTACAAACTGCGTCAAGAGGAGCGTCGGTGGAAAACGGATGGGAGATGCTGCTTTGTGAAGCGCATAAGCCAAAGCTGCTGCTCCGTAGTACTTGCTGTTTGCGACGGTGATGCCAATGGCCGCTAGAGCACCGGTGACATCAAGGCCCCGCTTCACAAGCTCATAGAAGAGGGTGTAAGAGATTATGGACAAAGACACTGAGGAGGCCAGGTATGCTGCGCCGTACCGCTTCAGCAAGTCCCTGCATGACTGCGACAAGGCAGCAAGGGAGCACTTCAACTTACGCGTCAGAACAAGGGCCTATCGTAGATCCCACTGCGTGACACATCTGCTCAGACTGCAAGTTCATGGCAAAAGTTGGCATGACTTTACAGTGTCCTACAAACAGAAACCTGGGACTCTGGGACCTCTCGCACCGTCTCACCTTGATTCTCCAATGCAATCGTAGCGTATTTTCGCTTCTGCCTGCCTGGCCTTGCTGAGACCTCTGGGAACTTCTCCGATACGGCCCAGGCGCGGCTGACGACCCGCGGGCAGAAGCCCTTCTGGAAGCCCCTGTAGCCCTCCACGTAGGCAAAGAACCCAAGCCTAAGCATGGAAACCATTGGAGAGGCTGGGGCTGCCAAAGAGTAGAAAGACTGAGAAGAGGAGGAACCAATTAAAAACTACACCGTGCTGAATGATCAATTTTTCACAAGGGACGTGGCCACGAGCATAAGCCACTGCCAAGGTGTGGTGATGCTGCCGAGGCCCTGATGCACGATGGGCACCACCTTCTTTATGCCGTAGGATAAGTATGCAGCCACGCCAAGCACGGACCAGACCTGCACCGACCGGGACCGCTCTGGCGCAGCCAACGCCACCCCGGCAGCACCAGAAGAAGCCTCTGCCGCCTCCGCGGATTCCGACGAGACGGTAACGGTCGAAACGTCTCTGTGGCCCAGCTTAGCAAAGCCCGGGTTCGGGCCAAGCGCTTGGGCAACAAAGGCCTGGGCGCCGCAGAGAGCAAGACAAATGAGAGCCATGACACAGGCACTGCAGGCGCTGCAGAGAAGCCATGGCCGTCTCCGGATCTGCCGGCGTGGACCGGGACTGCCCATGCTGTCAGCAAAAGCTGTGAGGATTAAAAGACTCCCGGGGATGTGATGTCAAGCAGTCAAGCGCACAGCGGGCACTGCGGCTCAAGAGTGCAACGTTTCACTGCCGGCTGCCTCTCCCTGGGCAGGGTCTGAGGCCAGGAGACGCTCCAGGTTGGCACAGGAAGCAAGCTTGCCAAGGCTTGGAAGCCCGCGGCCTGCAGAGACCCCAAATTCCAAGTGTGCGGGGGCCCCACAACCCCCAGATGTCTCCTGCAAGCCAGCGCCAGGGACCAGGAAAAGCGGAGCGTGGCCCGGGCCAGCACTCCTGACACGGGGTAGGACGGAAACTTCGATGACTTTGTTTTAATCTCCCGCAGATTGCCTGTTATTCAACAGCTGCAAGATCTTCGACTCGCCAGTGGCTTCTGAGGTTGGGGCTGCCTTCGCACCAGGTTTTGCACGCGAGCATCAAGAACATGCTGGCTGAGATGCGCCTCGTCTGACATCGGGCCCGTCGAAAACTGACCAGCGATGAAACCCGCAAGCATGTTCGCCTGTCAGGCACATGGGAGATTTGGATTGGATTGCTTGCATTGCTGGATTGCGGAGGCAGGGAAAGGCAGGGCAGGCCGTGGGAAAGTCAAAGACGGCAGAGTTTGGCAGTCGGATGCCACCGAGCCTGAAAATGCCCAAGATTCTCATGGATTCTGCTTTTGCCACGCCTGAGGCCAGCACTCTTGCTGAAGCCTGTTTCGGAACTCCACGCCAGATAAAGAGTCCATGCCGGACCTCATTGATGCTGCGGACTCTTCATCCCTCTTCAACCGGGGAATCGGAAGTGAAGACTCGAAAAGTCATGCAGAGTCTGTGGCTCCAGGAGCTCCACGTCTCCTGACAAGTCTTCGCCCACGACATCCTGAGGGACAGTGGGACACCATGGACACATCGAGATCGAAGGACACCAACTTCAACATCTTCAACGCTAAACAGGGAAATAGGACTCCGCCAAGCGTCGCTGGCCAAGCGCTGCACCAGAACCTCCAAGCGCTGCCGCCGCTCTTCCGGCCCGAGCGCCGCCAGCTCTGCCGAGATGCCCGATCCTGCACTCCGCAGCTGCGGAGCAAGGACCGAAGCACTGAGCCGGCTCTGCAGCTCTGCAGTGTGGCCGCGCCTGCATCTGCGGCACCCTCCGTGCTCTTGGCGGCTTCGGCGGCCAGGTCCAGCAAGGAGGCTGGCGGCGTCGCCTCAGAGGCTTCGCTTTCTTCTGTTCTGTTCTGTTCTTATCTCTTCTTATCGCTGCTTCCCTGGGGCTGCGGGCATTGAACACGCTGCGCAGGAACTTGGGCCAACGGACATGAGCTGCGCCCACCAGGCAGTGCCGCGGCTCGCCCTCGAATGCAAAGCGCGAGCGAGGCGAGCAGCGAGTCCGAGGCCATGCTTCGGGGCTTCGAGTTTCCGGCAGTTTGGCAAATGACGCTGGCGAGAATGGCCATTCCTGACTTCAGGAGCTGAAAGCCAGGCAAAGTGTCAGGCTGGGCTCGAGCTGGAGGCCTTGGGGGTTGCTGAGCGAGCCGATGCCACTGGCCTTGGCCCTCTGCACGGTGCCCTTTTGCACCGCCATGCCCACTTCGGCCTCTCTGTGTCTGTGTGTGTGTGTGTGTACTGGCTGCCTCGTACCCAATCTCAACTAAGAAGCTTGGGTCCCATAGGGGGCCCAGGGCCCATACTTAGTCAGAGTAGACCTTGCCCAGTTTGGGTAATAATGCCACCGCCAACCCATTAGATGATCATTCCTAGGGTCCCCCCTACATTTCACCGATAAATCACTACTACTTCCCCCATTAGATGATCATTCCTATATTCCCCCCTAAACTTCACCGATATACCACTACTGCTACACCATTAACAACACAACTCTAGGAATAACCATAACCCCATCTATTATCTCTAAGGTGACATTATTACTCAAAAGGGGCAAGGGGGTTCTCGTAGGATTTGGTTCAGGGTTTAGGGTTAAGGGTTGTAACCCCGAGCTTCTGCGGTTTAACCCCGCAATACCCCACCCCACCCCCCAAAAAAAAAAATGAGCAATCAGCACACTAACTGCCACTCGCAAGTGCCTTTTCCACACGCGGCACTTCTCGATTTGTCTCAAGGCGCCTTGAGAGCCTCTTCCCATGTTTTAAGATGGGTGAGGGCATCTGGCATGTCAACATTCAGCCGTCCCTTTGAGACGGGGACATTCTTGTCGTCCAACGATGGACACTCTGGGCAGACAAAGCTCTCAAAACTCTCCCGCGGAACTAGATAGATAAGCAAACATTGAAGTTTTTTCTTGTCTGATTTGGATTTCTTCTTGCAAGAGCCGACGATAGTCTGAACATCGCCCCACTGAGCAGCCCTGTGCAGTTTGCCGACAGTTTCCTGAAACATGAGCAACTGGTAGCTCTTGAGATCGTCCGACTGAACCAGCCCGAACATGTCAATCGACCTGTAGTTGACCGGGGCTTTGAGCAGAATTCCAACCTCAAGTTTGGGCTTCATCGAAGCCTGGTTTTCCACATCGATTCGCTCAAAACTGCCAGGCTTCGCGAACGATCCCTTCATCTTCGACTCGCCCAAGTCGCATAGATTGCCTTGCACCAATTGCTTGTATGCCCACTCCTCGAACACGTGCCCAAAGGCTTGCATGGAAAATGGGTTCTTCATCACGGACACAATCTCGTCATGCTTCTTGTGCGTGGCATCCAACGCCTTGTCGAGGAAGAACCGCGCGACAAAGCTCGAGATGAAGCTATTTGTCCCCCATCTGTTGTCAGTGCCATCACCATCTATCTTCACAACTTTGTAGGGCAAACGCTTGTCCCGAAGCAACTTGTCGGAAGAGCATGCTGCGCACAAGAACTCATAGAGGCCTTGAAGTTGGTCGTTCTCCAGAATGCCCTCCAATGCCTGCCGCATCCTGTTCTCTTCCGTCAAATCATTGCGGAGACACCAGTGAGGCACGCATCCAAAATTCCGAATGAGCTCATCACTGGCGTCGGGCGCCACCGCCTTGATTTCCTCGTAGCTCCACATGTGCATGACCAGAATGCGTCCATATTGACTGTCCACAAGCGCCTTGATGAGTTCCTTGTAGTTGCCAACCTTCGTCTCCTGTCCCGACAGCGGTGAAGCAGAGGTCGTCACGAGCATGAAATTGAAATGGAGGCTCTTGTCCAAGCCTGCAATCTGCACACAGGGGTCCAACAGTGCAAGTCTGTTGGAAGGGAGCTTCGCCAAGCTTCGCACTTCTGGCAGTTCATGGACAGCACAACTGTCATCCATTTCATAGAAAGCATCTCCAAGGTTAAAGATCACCTTCGGAAACCTGGCTTTCGGCAGTTTCGGATGATTGTTCAGCCATTGCCGCATGACATAGAATCTGAACGCGCTCTTGCCAATACCACTCGTGCCGACTATGATTGCTCCATGCTGCTTGTCCTTCTCGGCGCCCATGCCTTGAAGGAGATTGCAATACTCCTCACGAAGCAAAAAGTTCAACTGGGCTGTCTTCGTGGAAAGCTGGAGTTTCTTCAAGTCCCAGCTCTTGTCGACGTCCAGTTCGAGGACATTCTGTCCATTTACATCCGTCTCCTTTGCATCACACAGGGCTCTGAAGAAGCTCGTCATCCCCTCGTCGGATTGGAGAGCCTGAAGTGCAAAATCACACCAAAGCTCCGTCTAAGACAATCCCCTCCTCCTTCTACAACCGAAGATACCAACCCCTAAACCCGACTAAGCAACCCAATCAACTAACCCAATCGGGTAACCCTACGAGGAAACCAAACCTAGGGGGGAATAAACAACTGCGCTACAACCAAAGAGCCAACCCCTGAACCCAATAAGTAAGGTTAATCAACTAAGGCTATCGGGGAAGCCTACGAAATAAGCAAGTAAGCTTCCACCAACCAAACAAGATGAGCCCTAAAGCGTGTCTATGCTCGCGCCTAGCGGCGGATGCTGGTGTCTGACTTTCTGGATGGATGCCTTGATGCAACAAAACCGCTGTGACGTCTCGCGCTGTAGGATCAGTGATGGCGCGTTCAAGCAAAAAGGAAATGTTGTGCACTGTCAGGATCCTGGCGTCGTGAGGATACGAACTGAGAATTGTCGCCACGGCAGTCTTGGTGTCTTCATTCAACTCTGTCGTCTGAAGCAACTCCAACCACTCATTGCGTGAGCGTCTCGGTTTCTTTGTTGGAGGCTCCATGGCATTGGCAAAGGTGAGGTGTTGTTTAGGGTTTAGGGTTTGCCGCTGGAGGTTTTGGGTTTACTTGGACGTGAACAATCATACCGCAAAATCTGGTACCAGCCCGTGGACAACATCCGCAAATGTTTCTGTGGCTTGAACAACAAAGCCGCCGTCAGCTCCCGCTTTACAACTGCGTCCCGCTTACAATTCTCAGGTCGGGAGCATGGTCCTACCGCGAACAACGAGTTGAAAAACGAATGACCATCTCCAGTTAGCAATATGCAAGTGGCACCATTGGTGATAGTTGCGAAGTGTGTAGCAACTAACAACGTTAGTCGTAGAACAGCTTGCAACTCAAGTTGCGAAAACCCCCACAACTTCAAGACTACTGTCAAAAGCTACACTGATAACAACTCAAAGCGTAAATACGCTCTATTGTTACCTTCAACATAATAATATTTTTGACCCAATTTTTCATCAATTCGTTCTATGGTATAAACATTTTGGCTGAAATTTCCCAGTCTCTCTTTTTCATTGGGCTTCCTCTTCCTGAATATTTTAACTTCATCCCCGACACCTAGATCAGGATAGACCCGATTTCGTTTAGCATTCATATTCAAATGCAGTTTAACTTTTAATTCGTTGCTCGGTTTTCTGGCATCCTTCGGGGTGAAGCCAGTTGTGGAATGTTTCATTCTGTTATTGTATGTTAATAATATTTCAAAAATATAATCTGGCCACTGAATATTGTTCTTACCCTTTTTCTGATCGGCTTCAACACGACGATATAATAAATCTTTGAACGTCCTAATGGCCCTTTCGCTGAAATTTGCGTGTGCCCTAGTTCTGTAGTGTTCTATGTTCTGTTCCTGTAAATACTTGTGTATTGCCTCCTTGTTCATTGCGGGTTCATCATCGGTAAAAATTATCTTCGGCTTCTGTCCCATTTTATGTAAGCATTCAATCATCCCACTAGCTAAGTCTTCTTCCTTCTTACCTTTAATAGCCACGACGTGCATAAACTTATCAAATATGTCAATCATTAACATTCCTACTCTAAATTTTTGATCCTTCAAATCATTAATAAAAAACAAATCCATTTGATACTCATATGCTGAATGCGGGGCGACAAAGCTATTTGAACCGACGGGCTTACGTTTTTGATCAACATTCTTCCTAAAAAACTCATTGATATCAGACATTGTGATGGTTTTGTTTTTCTCCCGTGCTTCTTCTAAAGTCCGGCTTCTACTGCCGAAACCCGCGCGATCAAAATACACATCATTAATAATTTTTTGCTTCTCACTCATATAAAAACAAAAGAAAATCATGATTTAATAACTAAATTAAATCATCATTCGTCATCCATCGGCTTTATGATCTTGAACTTGCTCATATCATATTTGGGTGTGCCGCGCTTTGCTTTAAAAGGCTTTTTTGCATTCATTATTTCAGACAGCAATTCTTCTGTCAACTCATCGGGGTTCAGCTTGATATTGTTGGCTTCTTCATACTCCTTGATCTTCTTTCTCTGATTGTGTCGTAGTGCAGATTCTCGTTTCTTTTGCATATATTTTTCATCATTTCTGCGCTTGTTGTAATACAATCTGCTGTATATGGCGAGTTGCTCTTTGATTTCATCCATTGTCATATCCTCGGGGTTCTTACTCATATTATACTATACTATATATAATATTTTATCTTTAGACATATTTCTATACATTAAAACAACATTTAATATTTTAAAAAACATCTTTGGAAAATTACACTTAAAGATTTAATAATATATAGTTTAATTATATTAGTATATGTCCAAAGCCATTAAGCGTAATACGGAAGCACTACAAACATTTTATAACAACAGAAGAAACCGCCTCACCCAAGACACAAGAACAAAAGTTCAAAACATTATTAACTTATATTCAGATCGTAAGATCGCCCAATTCACCACAGCAGACAATTTAATCAGGAAACTCACCACCGCAAAAACAGACAAAGAAAAATCTAAAGCAGAAACGAATATAACAAAATATACGACAAGCACAAGGATAAAGAACAACTAGGTCAGAGAATGACCCAAGCAAAAGAAGACAACAAACGAACGGGAAGAACCAACCCGAGAAAACCAAAAAAATATTCAATCAATGTTCATTTATATAGGCTTAAGACAGAAGCAGACAAAGGTGTATTAAAAACGTCTTTTAGAGACACCAGGGGTAGGGAATATGTCCCAGTATACATGAACCCTTTAACTGCTAATGTTCCGACAACACCTTGGGTTGAAAACTTAGCGGGGAGACGCATATTCAAATATGAGAAAGCCGATTCTAAGACGTTCTATAGGCTCAAGTTCTTGTTATTGACAGATGATAGTTTTAGAGCCGAAGTTGGTTACGCAG